ATTTCTCTCCCAGTTGGCCAAATCTTGATCTCATATTTATCCGCACTTAAGAGGATGTAGTCTCCAGGGCTGTGCAAGAGAGACTTGACTTTGCACTTCTGCAAAACCACCTTGGTGACCCATTCAGTATACCCAGTGAGTGTGTTCAGGCATGTCCCAGCAGATAAAGCCCATACTTTCACAGCGAAGTCCGCAGAGCCACTCACCAAAATATCCAGTTCATCACTGTAGTCCACACTGAACACCGCCCCTGTGTGCCCCCGGAAATGCTGTGTCCTGGCTCCAGAACTCCATTCCCAGCAGGCCACGGTGTTGTCAAAGGAGCCTGTCACAAGCTTCTGTTCATCAAACTTCACAGCTGCACAGGTGTGGGTCTGGATGCCGTAAACACACTGCCCTGTGCTTACATCCCACAGCTTTGCAGACAAGTCATCTGACCCTGTGCAGAGAAGTCCATCTCTGTAGTAAAGTGCATACACTCTGGCACTATGTCCAATGAGTGATGAGGTCTCAAAGGCTTCGTGGTCCTCCAGCTGCTTCATCCTCAAGATAGCCTTCAAGTAAACCTTCTTCCAGTGCAGTGCGTCCTGAACAGAATCATCTATCTGCCAGCCCAAATTTTTACAGGCAGTCTGCCACACCTCTGTGCAGGCACTTATCACCTTATTCCACTGCTTACAGACCAGGCAGCATGTGAGTAAAGTTTGAGGATCGAGCCATTTTAACAAATAAAAACTGAGCTCCAGGGGAAGGAGTTTGAGGAAGTCCCGCTTGAGGAGAGTCTCCAGGTTATTGGAGAGGTGCCTGAGCTGGACTGCCCCACTCAGACTAATCAGGTGGTCCAGAGTTTCATTTTTCTGCAAGTCCGTCAGAGAAAGAAATGTAACAGAAATGTTATCAAGCCATGTCTCAAAGTCCTTTCTCTCCATAAGGTTATGGAAATATTTACCTGAGCGAGCTGCCCCAGGGACCGGGACCTCGTGCCTGACTCACACCGACTAGGCT